CACTCAGGACGTTTCTCCTGTTTGTGTTTCACTTAAGAAAGGATTTTGGGTATTGAACCACTACAAGCAGCAGGCTGGTTAAATTTGTGAAAGACTCCCACCTTCTAATCTTCAGCTTGAAATGCTGTGAAATACACTTCCCGCTTTTGCCAAAGGGGGGATGTGCAGCTCAATTTACTACTGCCAGCAGCACGTTTTAATACCCCATATCCCTTTTATTGCAAAGTGTAAAGCCAACATTTTGGTCTATCTATTTTTGGACCAGATAACCTCTTGGAGCAACACTCCAGGGTCTGTTTGTACTCAGTCAAGACACAGATCATCATTTAAAACCTTGCAGTATGTCACTTAAGATGTTCACTTGGGCATTAGTTTAGCGTTTCAAGCTAACAAACTGTTAGCTGTAGCTGAACAAATATACTAGCAAAAACAGATTGCCACAAGCAAGTACATATATCTAACTAAATGCTTGAGTGCATTTTCACCTACTGTTGTGAATGGTTTTAAATGTCTGCTATGGTTTTAAATTACAGGACATAGGATAAACAAAAATACATGACAGTCAAAACTACTGACACTAATTCTAATTCGCTTTTGATCCCATTACAAGATGAATTGGCCATAGTTTGGTTTAAAGTATGGTTGCATAAACTCACCATTTAAGAGTAGCAGTTTATACTGTTTTAACTCACAGTAAGATTGATCCTGTTTGAAGTCCTGGGTGCTTTTCCCGTAACATATTTTTTTACCTGAAGGAAAAGTTGATAATTTAAGGGCTCCTCACTCTGTGTGGGGTTTAAAAAGACTCCACTTGTGATAGCAGCGTTCTGCGATGGAACAACACTTGACTCTCCTGGTCAGTCAAATGAAATATACACCTGATCATTTGGTGCTAAAGTCATAGTTGTTAAGTGGGGTCAGCCCCTAGTGGAAATGTTGAGTATTTTATTCAAACATTTCTATGTGTTTTGTCTGAAAACATTTAAAATGATAAACTATTTTGTGTCGTATTCCAGGAGTGGTCCCCTAAGTGCATCCAGTGTACCCATTTGAATATGATCCTAAGAGGCTAAAGGGATGGTGGGCTTTGCTGTTGCCATCGTCATCGCCTTGGGAAAGTTCTGTGGCCAGCCACTGGGGATCAGGTGAGTTGGTTTTCATTGTCCTCCCTGGTGACTGGAGTCTATTAAGGACCAGCAGGTGTGGTGTCATAGGTTCAAATGACAGATCCTATGTGTATCGGTGGTGTTGGGTGGGGGTGGATTATGAGTGTAGGATGGTTGAGAAAACATCCCATGCTCTTAGCTCAGAAATGTTTTAAACTCCCAGCTAGGAGCTGTATGTTTTGTAGGTGAAGGAGCATCATGGACTTGGCTAGTGTTCTATTCATACTTTACCATAATGCTTGTAAAAATAACAATAATGGCAATCATTGGAAAGTTGAGTAATTTTGATTAATTGATTATATAGTTTAATCCTTTTTTAAATAAAGTGTGACATCATGCCAATATCTTTAACTTTTTTAAACTTGCAAAGTCAAATAATCTTATGGTAGATTCCAACTGAATCTGAAGAAAGAGAGAACATAGTTTTAAAAAATGGATGAAAAAGTCCACATGTTCTGGCATTTCTTGGTTATTGGTTATTGCATATATCCTGCAACAATGTGTTGTGGAAACACAAACAGGCTTTTGGATAAAACTGAATTATCTCCCAATTCCAACACTTAATAGATACTCGTTTTGTTTCAGAATGTATTATTAACACCCTTTCTAATCTATGAAGTTATCCAAGTATGTTGCATTACATAGTTGATTCCTAATTTTAATCTCTCAGTCTCACAACTTCCAGCGTGTCTGCTTTCAATAAGACAACAGGACCACAAAGTATGCAATGGCTCTACTTTTACATATCTTAAAGCAGATATTGCACTTCCAGTGAGTTGTGTGGAATGAAGAAGACGTGGCCCTCACTGCTTGGATTCAACGGTTCCACTGCACTGGTCCTGCTGCTCACCCTGCCTTCACGCCTGAGTCTCCCAGCCTCCTGCTGCTTATCAGAAAAGACCAAAAGGCCTCTGGGAAAGGTGCAAGAAAGCTCAGATTTAACATTGTCATGTGTTGGGTGATGTCCCGTCCCCATCTACACCTCCTAATTGCCTGCTCCTCTTAAGCTTTTAGAAGGCCACGGGGCAACAGGACTGTAGCAGGGAGATGGCTGCCCTGCAGGACGTCCACACACTCGGTGCTGAGGCTGATTCAGAAGCCAACGCTTGGCTGGCAGCTCTTTACTATCATTGTTGCTTTTACTGCAGTGCAGCTCAGTGGCATCAATACCAAGAGTTATTTGTCAAACTAAGGCATTTACTTTAGCAAAAGAGCTCTCAGCTCTTGGGGTGTGGTGTATTCTTCTGTATGTCCGGCCCGTGTGTGGACTGTGTCCCAATCTGAGCTGATGATCACGGCCCTTAGGTGTGGCCAGTGGGTGAACCTGTTGACTTCTGTGACTCAGACTGAACCTACACAAACTGCACACATCGCATTTCACTCCCGTAAATGTAAATTTCACCTTCAAATGCTCACCTCTCTAGCCTCTGTAAGTTCTAGTTCGTTCTTGTCTGATCGTGCTTCAAACATATTCTTGAGTCAGAAAAGAGAAAAAAGTAAACCGTTTACATAAAGTTTATTTTGGAGACTAACTGTTGGATAAAAGGAAAAAAAAACTTCTAAGGTCTCTCAATGCTCTCTCTTGTAATCCAATTTTATTTAGTCCCTTCATATGTGAGTATAGGGCCCCCATGTGGTTGTTTAATTGTGTGCAATACTCACAGTAGGTTACTGTACCAAACTTAATGTGCTTTGATGTCGCAGTTTGTCCTGATTAGGAGTTGGAGCTAGAAGGGGCTGCAAGTAGACCAGGTACATATGTACACAAACCTTTGCACATTGGCACTTTTTGACCACGGGCTAGATGACAGATTAAATAAACTGGCTCTTGAGATGAAATGACTCACGCTAATGTCTCTTTGTAGCAGAAGCTGGAGAAAGTTTGCTTCCTTATATTTAAACATTTCAGCCTCACTTGTGTCACCTATGGGAGGTTCAACATGCCTCAAACCAAAATTTAAGCAGCACTGGAGATTAGTGAAGATTTGGGGAGGTGCATCACAATAGTAAAGCAACTCAAGACTAAATGTTTCCAAATTGGGAAACCAAACTCTGTGGATGTCAGAGTTTGTAATCTGAATGATAATTGTCTCTATTTTCTACCTGTCTGAATTCAATGCTTGTGGGATCATACATATAAAATTAGCATAGTTTTTTTTAAACTTAATTTGAGGGTGACAAATATACAATCCCAGACACTCTGAGGTAATAAACAAAGAAGAAAGAATTGGTCTAATGCAGTCACTATAGGCCTCTTCAATGCAATGCTTTTCTAAGGCACATTAAGATATTTTCCATTCTTGTTTTTCAGGTGTCTGACATAATTTGTTTTTTTCAGAGTTATTTTCTTGGATGAAGTTCAATTACAAACCTTAAAAATGTCCCAAAGTCAGCAAACAAGAATGTGTTCATCTGTGTTTAAGTGTTCAAAAACACACCCACTACATTCATTATTTATTTACATTGCAAGCAAAGTAAGTATGTGCAGTACCAACTTATAAAAGGTAAAAATGAATCTAAATGGGCTGTTAAACATTTGCTCCTCCTTGACCTGCCACTTACAGGAGTCAGCTTTCATCATTAATATGAAATTCAATATGCTACCAACATTGGCAAGATGTTTTATTTCCTGTTGACATTTAGTTTTTTCTTTGCAGATCTTACAGTAGCCTAAAGAACAAAGAAAGTACCATTATCAAGAGAAATACCACAAATTCATACAGTGCTTTACAAAACAAAAAGCAAACCTAATCTCTTCATACAGGCAATTAGGAGAATTTGTTATTTCATCAGATGTAATCCATATATGTAAAGACAATTAGTTTGTCTAAAGTAGAAATTCAGTATGTGTTATTTAGACGTGTATTTCTTTAGCACAGCCTAAACCCTCTTACACAACTATCTGAGTACTGGATCAGATAGATATCTTTTAGACAACTTAAAAGAAAGTGCCAAAGAATGCAAATAAATGTACACTATTTCATATCATCTGACATAATACTGGTTCATCCATTAGATGTCTTTTTGTGCCTAATCATTCACAGGTCAGAGCTGAATGGGTTATCTGAATAGCGCGTGTAAAAAATGATCTGTTACAATGAATGAGAACAGAGAAAGTGGGAGTGGCTCAAGTTTTGTTTTTCATACTGCAGAACAAATAACGATCTCTACATTAAGTCTCAAATATATATGAAAAATGCTCAAAGCACGAGTTATACAACTCTAATAAAAGAATATGCCCCCTGAATCGTGTCGCTTAAAAATATGCGCATTCAGGAACATCAGAAACCTGCGTGTTGTTTATCATCAAAAGTCAACGATGAATGTGAACACAAAGTCTTTATTTCTTTCAAATAAATTTGCCCAAGCCTGCTGTATAACTGTAATATTTGGAGCACGAGTTAACACTGGTTTGATCAACATGAAAAACCACATCGACCACAAATCAAAATATCTGAACTGGTTTGCTTTGGAAAAAAAACACTGTTTGGGTCACAGCAGGACTCACAGTACTCGGGAACTCCCCCCCCCCCAAACCTACGCACAAACTCGGGCCCGGCACATGTGTGCGCCTCTGATAACACAATCTACACGCTCAGAGCTGAAAGGGCCCGTAAGACTCCTGCGTGTCAAACGCCAAAGGCGAGAGTCTGGACGCGTGCACAACCAACAAGCATAGAGTCGGCTGCGCACGTCAGCAGAGAAAAAAAACACGCACGTCCACGCCCTCAAAAGTTGGCTGAAACTGGTCATGTAAAGACCCCCTTCAATGACTGACGACTGGAAGAGTGACCGCGGAAGAGTTCATCACAAGACCCCGGACACCAGCTGGCCATGGACATACTGCCCAGCTTCTCCCATGACCTGCCAAAGGTGAAGACAGAGTTTGAGCAAAAGTGAGTGCTATCTATTGTTTTTTCATGAGTCAGGAACCTAGTCAGCAGGTCAGGAACTAGCTTTTTTGTTTGATTTTTTCTACTATTTTTATTTGAGAAATTAATTATATTTCAGAAATCCTTTCGAAAATATCAAACTGCAGAGAACCACCAAAGTCCACTGGTGTTTTTCTTCACAAATCAGAATGCTGGGAGATGTTCTCCTCTGCATAACTTTACGCCCTTGCACTAAATAATTGAATCAGCAGATACTGGAGCTGTGCCCCCACGCACAGTGTGAGCGCTCCAGCAGCACAAACACCCCCCCACCACCTCCACCACCTCCACCCCTGACAGCTTTAATTTGCTGGATTGATCTCGAGAAGAACTCACAAAACAAAAGTTTGCCGGTAAATTATTTACGGCGGCCCTAATTTGCCACGGGGGGTTGGAGCCGGGCCCCGGCATCCCGAGCTGCTGTCGCCGGGCATCCTGCCTCTGCCAGGCTGTCCAGCAAAGAGATGAGGCGCACCGGGGCAGATTTTGACAGGAAACGAGCACCGAAAAATACTTTGCGTAGAGAATCGATAGTTATTTTTAACAGTGGTGATGATAACAAAGCGGCCTTGATAACATGGGCTGCCTCCACCCAGCCCCACTCCCACCGAGGGTCAGCGAGCTTTGGATGGAGAATAGCCAAATGGAGGAACACCAAAGGACATGACACAAAACAACAAGCCAAAAAAAAAAAAAAAGGCAACTCATCTGAGTTTCATGACTTTTGCCCCTTGGGCTCATCTTAATCTAATCTCAGAGCAGAACCGATTCTTACACGCCGACAAAAATCTGAATGTGTGCTTCAGCCCGATAAACCTGCGCGTGGTAGATCCTCCTGAACGTTTCTGTGGGGCTATGGCTGCTCACCTCTCAGCTGTGTTCTTGTGTCTGATCACATGCAGGGTGTTCGTCAACAGAAGCCTGACGCTGGAAAGCATCAAATGCTACGGCTTCGACATGGACTACACGCTGGCAGGTAAAGCGAAGGACTGCGCTGACCTTTGGGTCACCGCGAGCCGGCTGCCCAGACGGTCAGCGTGTGTGCGCTGAGTTCTTGTTTGTGACTTCTGAGCTGTCCCAGACAGGTTATTGGTTGGAAGCGTGCTAATGATTTGCTGTGTGTGTATCTTGGTCTGAAGTGTATAAGTCTCCTGACTACGAGAGCATGGGCTTTGAGCTGCTGAGGGACAGAGTGGTGTCCATTGGGTACCCTCACGAGCTTCTGCGCTACACATATGACCCCAGCTTCCCCACGCGGTCAGTAGCAGGCTTTCCTCTCTCGCCATTCTTTATTCCCACAGCGTAAATGGGAAACTAACGCTCTGTGCTTCCTCTTGCCTCTGTTTTTTTATCCTCGCAGTGGTTTAGTGGTTGACACCAAATATGGAAATCTCCTGAAAGTGGATTCTAATGGCAACGTTTTGGTTTGCACTCATGGGTTCCGCTTTCTCAAAGGGTAAAGTTTGCAATTTGTCAACAGTGTGGGCAATTTTTTTAAAAACTTGATTGGGAGTATTGACTTGTTTTTTTTTCCGGTATCCATAGGGAAGACATCCAAAACTACTACCCCAACAGGTTCATCCAAAGAGACGACACCGACCGTTTTTACATTCTCAACACTCTCTTCAATCTCTCAGGTACAGATTTGAGTCTTTTCCTTCTTCTAAAAGGGAAACTGGGTGTGAATTCTGATGTGGAAATCATATCTTTTAGCTCTGCAACCCTTTGCTTTCCAGAATTTAAGTCAAAACTCAAACAAACCATTTACTTTCTTCCCACAGAGACGTACCTCTATGCCTGCCTGGTGGATTTCTTCACCAGATGCACCAGATACACAAAGTAAGTGAATCCCCTTACATGCCCCCCCATGTTTTACACGTCCTCTCTCCACAGTTCTGTTGTGTTTAAAGTCATAAACTTCTCCTCCTCCCCACCTCTGCTGTTCTGCCCTCCCAGCCTCCTCAAAGGTTTCCAGCACGGTGACTTGTTAATGTCCTACAGAAGCATGTTCCAGGACGTTCGAGATGCGATGGACTACATTCACGACACGGTGAGCCCTCAGTCCCCAAAGTTCTGCTTTCTACATATTCCAGAAAAGAACTGCTGACCTTAGCTTGTTGTCTAGACGTTAAAAGCCGATTTGTGTGTTGCACAGGGGATCCTGAAAGATCGAACCATCAAGAATTTGGAGAAATACGTCATCAGAGATGTGAGTAAAGCGAGCAGCTGGAGGAAACGCACGTCCTCTAATCGCCTGAATGCGGCAGGTGCTGACGGTGGATGAGTGTTTGTTTCCACAGCCAAACATCCCCGTGCTCTTGACCCGGATTAAAGAGGTAGCCAAGGTCTTCCTGGCCACCAACAGTGACTACACCTATACAGAGGTGAGCACACAAGCTCAACCTTTTACCAGGGCTAAGGCTCCTTACAAGAAATGAGAAACCCCACTCACCGGTGTCCTTCCTCTCTCTTTTAGGCCATCATGACATACCTGCTTGAGAGCCAGACCAAGGTCGGGCAGTTCGGACTGCAGTGTTGATTTTTTTTAGGACAAACTCATTTTACTGACTCATGGCAGCTTAGCGCTTTCCTTACTTGCAGCCCGGACTTCCAAAAATCTCCTGGCGCACCTATTTCGATCTTGTTGTCGTGGACACCAGGAAGCCGCTGTTCTTTGCAGACGGGACCGTTTTGAGACAAGTGGACACGGTATGAAAAAACCTCAGGATTTCTCACATGATATTAAAGTGTCAGCAGGTTTGCATGTCAGTTTTGTGTATTTTGGACGCAGAACACAGGAAAACTGCGCATCGGGACTTACACGGGAGACCTGCAGCATGGAACAGTGTACTCTGGAGGTGAGCTAGAACTGGCAAATTATTCAGAAAATACAAGAATGCACGATAAGGTTTTGAGATTTAAGAAGCCAAATTACTCATTACTTACTTATTAATGGCAGAGGACTCCTCCAATCTAAGATTGGATGAACATGGTAACACTGAGAAGGAGACACATTGTTCAACCTAATGCTGGTTGTAATTGCACGATTAGTGAGTATTGACACATCCAATTTGGCTTGTTTTGTTCATTGGCTGGTTTCCAGAGAACAAGGGAATGGGACTTTTTAAAGACAGTAATGAAGAACCGGGGCTGGGCTTTGACTAAGACTCAAGTTTTTAAAGTTCTATTTAAAAAAAAAAGGAAAAATTGTGTTGAATCTGAGCAGAAATGTACATTTTTGCTAGACTTCCTTGAAAATGTAGCTCTAAACATAGTTGATTTCACTTGTGCACCTTTCACTGTCTCCTTTAAATCGAAAGCTTTGATCATCCATCTTGATCTATGATCCCAAAACTCTTTAAATTCACATTTTGTAATCTTTCCCCTGGCATAGTGATTAATGACCCTCAATACTTGTATCTCCTCATCACATTAACTCAGTTAGGAGCATTTATTGTGTGTTAGTTTCATTCAGATAATGCCTTCATGCCTTAAAGTGGTGCAGATACGACATCCTGTCACTCTTTTCACAAACAGGAGTCTGTGCATGTGTCTGTTGTTATTTTTATTGTGTTGCTAATGTTAGATAAACCTTCAAGATGACCAGTTCTGACAAGCCGGACGGTGCAGTTTCAGAACCTTAAGACTTGGTCCTGTTTTTCAAATTAAAACCTTCAAATAAATACAGCCCTGTCTGTTTTATTCTCATGTGTTTGTGCATTCACTAAATGCAGCAGCTCTTCCATGTTTCTGCAGGATCTTCAGACATCGTCTGCGACCTGCTGGATGTCAAAGGTAAGGACATCCTCTACGTGGGAGATCACATCTTCGGCGACATCCTGAAATCTAAGAAACGCCAGGGCTGGAAGACTTTCCTGGTTGTTCCGGAGCTCACCAAGGAGCTGCAAGTCTGGGAGGAAAAGAGAAGTGAGGACAAGAAGAGTCAGCTCTGACTTGTACTAGTTTATCCTCGTTTGCTGGTTTCCAAAGATGAGATGACTGCTTTGATATTTCAGATCTTTTTGAGGAGCTGAAACGGCTCGACGTCTTCTTAGCTGAACTTTACAAGTAAGCGTGTGTCCATTTGCATATTTGTACCAGATAATTGTGGCTTACTCAAATGTTTGATATGTGCTCATTTGTTTAAATACATGGATATGCATTTGTTGACCTTCTTCAACAGGAAACACTCTATTGAGGATAAAACTACAGTATATTTGATCAGTTTCAGGACCTAACAATGCAATTTATGTGCAATTTTGTCTGGGCTCCCATTATTACTATTACTATGTGTGTAAATATTATTATTAGGTTCGTGTGTTGCTCTTGTTATTGCAACAAGAACAAGAATGACCAGAAGCAGTTGGGCCTACAATTCAGAGCTTATTTCAGAGGTGCTGTGCTGCCGTGTGGCCAGCAGGGGGAGCTTCAACACCTGTGCAGCGTTTGTATATTTTTTTCGTGTTACAGCGGAGTGCAGAAAAACAAAGTACCGCTTCAATAAAAAGGGTTAAGAATGGGATGTAAACCGTCGCTTAGCAGCTCGTTGTTCACGTGGTTTAATCGTGATTGACAACATCAGAGTCAGTGATGTATGAGCTGCTTTTCTCTGTGGCTGAAGGCACCTGGACAGCGGCAGCAAGGAGTGTCCCGACATCAGTGCCATTCAAACCAGGATGAAGGTGAGCTGCAAACGTCTCAGCCAAACTTCTGTGTGTGTATTTGTCGGTAGTTTTTTTTGTTTGTTCGTTTTAGTTACTCAAAAAGCTGTGCATATGCAAACAAACCCTGCCCTCTAGCGTCTCCATCCACTCTGGAGAGACCTTATTTTACGCACTAAAGTACAGTGCAGTGAGAGATTTTTAGCTGAAGTTTGAGAACGCTTTGCTGCTTGTGTTCCAGGTGCTGACCCACAGGATGGACATGTCCTACGGTCAGATGGGCAGCCTCCTGCGCACCGGCTCCACGCAGACTCTCTTCGCCAGCCAACTGATCCGTTACGCAGACCTGTACTCCTCCACCTGCATCAACCTGCTGAACTACCCTTTCAATTACCTCTTCATGGCTCCGCCCGTCCTGGTTAGTGCTTTCTCTCTCTTCCTGACAATATGAAACATGATTATGGGATGTTTTTGTTCTTCTTCCAAAGCGTCTGATGGTCGCTCTTTTTCCAGATGCCCCACGAGGCAGCTTCTCAGAACTCAGCTGAAGTTGCTTCAACAGATATGAGCAACCACACCATCACGACCAGCAGAAACTGAAGTTCCCATCTTTACAGGACGGAGCAGGAAACTTAGGGCAGCACCGAGGTGTCTCGTGACGTTTCTCTTTGCGTCATGGACGGTGATGAAGGTGACCTGGGCACATATGAAGGGGCTCCTTAAAGCCATGACGTGCTCCTTTAAGCACACACACTGCTCCACCTGCTGGATATAAACTGCTTTGCCATCTGAGACTTTATGAAACATGTTCTGGGGGTGTGATCGAACGCAAATACAGGCTCAGGGTTATTGTATATAAGAGTGTTTTTACATAGAGTGGTGCAATTGCACTTTAAAGATAAAGTTTGTGTAATGGTTTGTAGAAGAAATTTTATTTATTTACTTTTGTTTGTTAATCTTCCATTGAATTGATCCCATAAATCATTCCCTTAGTTTGTTTTCCCTTTTTTTAAAAAACAAAAAACTGGAGTTCTAGCTCAGCTTGCCTGTACATGTTTCATTTCACATGTTCTTTGTGGCTGCTGTGTCTGTCATAGAAAGCAAGCGCGGCGATTCCTGTTCCCATTATTGTTGTTTATGGACTGTCTTTATTTAAATTGTCTTTCTGATGCAGTTAAAGTAAAAATTTTAAAAATGCTAGAACCTTACACTTTTTGCATTCTTTGAGAGGACGATGCGGGTCATGAAAAAGTAGGAGCAAGTCATACAACAAAAACAAAAACATTTGTCAAATGAAAAACGGAAAATGTACTATTATAATCATTATTGGTATTTTTTTTTCAGTAAAAGAGCAACACAGTTTTACTCGCTGCAGTACCGCATCCGTCCACTAGATGGCACTTAATTACCTCTGCAACAGACCTGAGCATCGATCCCTCCCTGGCTCCAGATTATTCTCATATTCCCTCCAACATATTCTGGTTATGTACCACGCAGCTAATATCTGCCCTCATGCACGTAAGGACAATCCAGCCTCTGCTTTTGTGAGAGCCAATGGAGATGCTATTCCTTATGCCAGACTAGTTGAAGTGATATGTGTTTTTATGTATCACACATGAAAGCAGTCTTGCATTACAATTGTCAAAGTGGCAATGTAAGTTAATATGAGGAGCCCCAGGCAGCCTCCTCATTCATCAACAATAGCTCTGCTATAATCAGACGTGATTATTGTACACCAAATCCACACAATGACACACATACAGACCTGTGTGGTCCCAGTGCTACACACTCTGGTTCACACATTCCTGCTCTTATGAGAGCTAACCCACACACACACACACACACACACACACACACACTCCCTCTACGCCGTGTGATGTCAGAGCCGTGATTATGTATAAGAGGTCTCTTTTTTTTCCGCTCACAGGAAATGATCCAGTCTTCTGTCAGAGTATAGCACTTTTCCTGTTGTGCTCCTGCACAGATGCACAGATTGTTCTTATGCGGCTTTTTTCTTTCAGCCCCGTCTCACGCCGCCGGAGAACATATGAGCAGTGGTGGCTGCGCTGCCGGTATGTTATGAGTCTCATGTTTCCCGTCAGTTCTTACATCAGACTTAACATGACAAAGCCTCAGTGACAGCAGAAAACAGCTTACATTTAGCCTCATTTGCACACATGTGTGTATATGTAGATATATACATTTATATCTTTATAGCTGTATATATATGTACTAATAGTGTATTTATTGACTAATATTCATTCAATTTTTAATGACAAACAAAAACAGGAATCAAAGATCATCTTTAAAAGCACGCTTTTTACAATAAGACCTAGTCCTGAGTTGAAATCGTGGTGGTACACAGTGGCCTATCCAGCTCCTCCATCCGTCTACGGCTGTATCTGTTCAGATTTGTTATCTCCTATCAGCGATAGATTATTTGATTATCAACACCCCCTCCTTGTAAATTCACGTGAGGTTATTTAATTTTTCATATGAGGGCTGTTTTAGATTATTTGAATTTCCTTTAATACAGTCCTTTTGTTTCTGGTCTGTATTTTTTCAGCATTGTTTTATTCAGTTTGTCATTATCTACTTTGTCCTCCATGTTTTTTTAGTCTGTCATTTTCCCACCTATTTTCACATGTTTCACTAAGATATGCAGACACCACCAGCAGCATTTTATCTCATTTCATGTTTTAGGAAACAACTCAATTCAGGTTTTTTTTTTTCCTTCATTCGGATGAATTGATCATGATTTATTCTCAGAGCAGAAGAAGTGCTGCCCACCTCTGTGAGGACAGATTGCTCTGTTTCTGAACAAGTTCAAACCCTCAGGGACACTATAGGACACAGGTTTTGCCTTTGAAATGCCACTGCCCTGCCACTAATGTTTGGTCTGAAAACAAGTCCTGCTTTCAACTAGGACCCTTGTAAACAGTACTTTCTACAACCTCCTGAAAAGAAAAGAGCAAATTGGTGATGTAAATAAGGCTATTTTCATCCTACTAAACACACAATCCTTCCTTTAGCAGACCTGCCATCTTTCTCTGATGAAAACAGGCTATAGATAGCACAGCAGACATCCAAACAAACACATTCTCGCATGCACTTCTTTCCCCTCCATTAGACAATACGTGCTGCACTGCGATGGAGGAGCAGCACAGGCAGCAGAGTATCCGTTTCTCTGTACTTTTGTGTAGAGTTTCATCCACTTGTTACTCTGCAGATGGATCCATTACAGCGCCCGATCACACCTTTAATAATCACAGAGGACTAAGCGGAGGCTGTTTACAGGGTCCACGATGCGGCTGAAATCTATGGAACGATTGGATGTTTCTTCTTTGTTTTTTTGTAAAAAAAAATAGCCTCATAGTGATTGTAGTTTGAGAAACTACATTTGAACAAAATTGTAGATCTTGTATTTAGCCGGAGACATGCAGAAAAGGCGACACATCGATAATAAAAACAGCTCAGAGTTCTGCTTCTTCAGCGGGTTTGAAATCTCTATCATTGTACCTATGGTCACAATGGAAAGGTTCATGTAAACACCTTAGTTTTGATCACTGATGCATTTTCCTGAATATCACCACTAATTCTTTTATATTTATGAAAAACATGACTTTAACATTTTTTTTAGAGCATCATTGCCTTTGCGTGCTTTTTCCATTAACTCACATGTTCACAGTGGCTGGGAGAACAATGACAAAAACACAGTTCTAATAATTTTTCAGAAACTTTCATTTGCTCCAGAACCTTAAATAAAACTAGCTGAATTTACACAAGCTGACAAATCTTTTTAAAGTGTCCTGGGAAATATGTTAATTACATACAATCTATGATTGACTTGCATGTTTGAAGAAGACAAAAACCGCTTTTTAAAGTTTTTTTTTGCCTGTACATGCAGTAACATGCTATTTTCCTCAGGAATGTGAAAGACTTAAAGAACTACATTCCTGAAGTCAATGTTTGTCTGAATTAAAGACTTTTTTTAACTCCCTTTTAACAAAAGATATGGCTCTTCAAAGTGCATTTAGAAAAAAAAGAAAAACATGGGACAAATTAGATTCATTTTATTGCCTTTATTCAGAACAGCTACTTGGGGAAAATGAGCAGAAACATAATTAGGTGTAGATTTTTTTCATCAGGAATCCAATAAAGACTGAGACATGTTTTGTGAGCTTTTCCTCTGCTTTTATCACTTCTTTCCAAAAAAAACATTCTCTCATTGAGATTTAATTTGTTTAAAGAAATTCATTAACGGCATCCAGAGAGACACATCTGCTCACGAGCAGCAGCCACGCACAAACTAATAAGAAAAAACAAACAAACAAAACATTTGCTCTTTCGAGTTCCGTGTTGTGCTCTTCCTAATGACGTGCAGATGTCACCGTCACATTAGCTCCAGTTCTGGTTTTGGGCGTCTGGGATTCACGGCGCTGCTGAAAAAAGCCCCGCTGACATGTTGGGTTTCACTGCTGCTCTATGCAGTCAGATAACTGCAGAAGCACCACCGTCCCCCATTCCACACATTCCAGGATTTCCCAGCAAGCATTGCAAGCAAGCCTAAACAAGTCACGTTCTTTACTCGGGGAGAATTTCACACAGTCAAGTGGCAGACCTTCCCCTTTTGCTTTCCCCCTCCGGTGTGCACTCGCCTACAGACACTTTCACATCTACGTCCTTCCTTCCCCAAATCTCACACAAGGTTTTTTTTGTTGTTGTAGTTGTTGTTTTGTTTTCTTTTGAGGCCACACAAACGCAGGGCGAGCCCCACACCCCGGCTTTAATGAGCGCTCACAGCCATCCCCCTTTCACCTGAAACTATCTGGGCTTCCTCTCTGCTTTTGCTAACGGCCTGCGTGTGTTTCTGCGGCGGCGTGGAGCGGGGGGGGGGGGGTGGGGGGGGGGGGGGACCGGACCGTGGTCAGACGTTTCCACCCCGGAGAACTGAGGCCGACACTCATCAAAACAAACAAACTCCCTTCGCTCCGGTTACTGGAGGGTTCAAACGCGAGGCGCGCACGGGAGCGGTGACACCTAATCTCCACGCAGAGGGAAGAAAAGAAAAGAGGAAGGCGGAACGCAAAGGGGGCCGAGAGGGCCCTGCTCCCTGCATTCCTCCCTGACGGCCCCTCCCCCCGTCGACCTGCTACCACTGAGGATGCTCAGAGCCACACATCGGCCTCCACCCCCTCCTGCTCCTTCTCCTTTTCATCTTATCGATACACGCCGTGTGTCAGGGCTTCGCTCTGACGGCCAAACGACAGACTAAAGGGGGGGGGGACAGGAGGAGGAAAAGGAACTCTTCCTCCTAGGAAAACTAGTCCCAATACGTTTGGTTGTGCGTGAGCTCGGGGCTGAATTTACCTCCACCTGCGTCTTTCCCTCTTTCACCTTTGTGATCAGGCTTTGCTCAAGCCAGAATTCTAACCTCCAAAGAAAGGAAGGGAGGAATTCTGTCTCAGAGTTTTCTCCCTTTAAATTGCCAGATTTTTTCTAAAAGTGACCCCCCCCTCTCCTCTTCCCCACACCCCCTTTTTTCCCTTTAAACTTTGCTTGCCTGTCGGCCAACAGGCGAGTGTAAACTGTCTTCTGTA